TTTGATAGGACGCTCCCGATTTTGACCATTTGACCATTTTGACCATGTCCAGTATAGTCATGAGGGAAACACACAGACAGACTCTCTCTCAAACACAAAAAGGCACGTCTGAATTACCTTTGCTTTCTTCATCTCTGCTACTTCTGCCTGCAGCTTCTTCAGCTCTCGTTCATATCGAGACTGGTTCTTGAGAAGGCGAGCGTGCTCCTTCTGGGCAGCCTGCAACTTCTGCAGGTCACGATTCATCTCCCTTAAACGTTTCTCATAATCTGCTTTAATTTTGTTAGCCTTCTCTTCTGTATAGCATTCCATACTACCTGAGAAGAGGAAAACAAAACAAAGCAAAAGAAAAAAAAAACCTCATATCAAGGCACGGTGCTTGGAGCAGTTTCTGAGAAGGCAGTAACGGAATCGAAACATAATACAAACTAAGACAAACCTAGGGAGATTTTTTCAAACAGATCTAAACTACTGCAACCATATTTGAGGACCCAAAAAGCATTACATTCCTGACACTCTTCTTACATAACTAAAGTATATAACTACGTAACTAAATTAAATCCTACAGTCTCCCAAAACCATAGGAATCAGAATCACAGTTCAGGAAGAATACAAACCTTCCCAGGAACGTACCTATTCAGAGAGCAACGAGGCACTTTATGACTGACTTTTTCTCCCAAACCACTAAAGCAGTAATTATCACACTAATACAAGGAATTGAGGTCATCTCCCAAGCCTTACTTGGGGAAGCATTCAATTCATGCAACCTTCATCATATTCTGAAATGGCACATTCCTGGGAATGTATAGTAGTGCAGTAGTTATAATAGAGTTTCTGAATATATAGATCAGTTTTCAATCATTAAAACCTAATAATAGGCAGGAAACAAAAAGCATATATTTTGAAGGAGATGGGGTTTAGACAGATATAAAACTTAAACTTATCTTTCTGGTGTTCTCTCATCTGACTACATAACATTTGACCATTTTGAGAGTAAGCTTTGAGTGACACATTGCAAATTATGAGTTAGCAAGTTGTGCATACCTAGTTATTGTGATTTCTCAGCAACAATTTATGGGAATTAAGATTATGGACAAACCACATCACTGCAATTAAAACAAATCATGATGGGACATAAAGTGTAAATCTAATCAAAAATTTACTTACTAACTCAAGTTTGAGATTCAGATAGTTCTTGTGCATTCAAACCATAGCTTTGATTGTGCATTCAGATAAAAAGCCTTTCAATACCAGAACAATGCAAGCAGA